GCCGCCTCCACTACACGCGCAGAACTACCGAGCCCCTTGACCTTGCTCCTTTCCTGCAGACGCATCAAGCCACCGCAGTTGTGCGAGAGAACGTGATTGTTTCTAGCGCCCTCGACCAGCGCCATGTGGCTTTGGCTCGCCATCCACCACACCCCCTTTCTGCGAAATTGTCAAAACTCCTAAACCATCCATGAGTCTAGCATAGTCCCTCCCGCGGACGGTACCCTACTCCGGAATATAGGCTCGCAATTCTCCTAGACGTCCGCGACCTGCTGGAACTTGCCATCAGACTACATAGACGCACTGTGCCTGGGTGATTCATGTCCACGCGCGCAGGCGCACTACGTCCCAACTAGGAAGTCCCATTGCCTAGACTCTCCCGCCACTTTTTATCCGTCTTTACATCAACAAGCATCATTGTACGTCAGTTATATGCACCTCCAAGGTTGTAGCTAGGAATCAAACTTGAATGTGAAGCAAATGGTCCAAGACAGACAACCTTGGAAGTTGTGACCCCCACGTGACCGGCAGCTGACGCCCTTCGAGACGAGGCGGCATGTCAATACTATCCGTGCTATCAACTGAGCACATCCTGCGTGCCTTCCTCAGCCAGTAGACGACCCCGCGATGGGCAACGTGTTGTGACTGTGCATCGTGGGACCTTGAAAACACTGAGACATGTCGTCATTATCTCCAACGTCGCTTCCTCATTGAGCGTCCATGCCTTATCTTCATATATTCCAACACTCACTCTGCTTCGCCTTGCCCGCCTCATTCCACTCGCCAAACAACGGCAACAGTGCAGACGGAGATGAGCGGAGATGTCAACCACTATCGTCCAGCGGCCTATCTTCAAGCAAGAGTCATAGCAACATCTCGAGCATATCCGCAGAATCTGCCGTCGCCACTGCCTTCCCACGGTAGTAACTGAACCCCGAGCAGGCCGGCAATACAGTAAGTGCGATGATGCCCAACTGCTTGCGTACTAATTTTGTTATCCACAATGTAATAGCAGCCGGCTATTATAGATACTAAATTCGCGACTACGGGTCCCATATGCACGACATGCCTTGTTTCTTCGCGGATCATGACCCCACTGCGGAGTTTGTCGTCGATTGTTGGAGATAAGCTGGCTGCTATGGTCACCAATATCATTGTGTATGGCCGTACGCATCGAGCTCTATCCCGAGGTCATGAGCAGGTACCTATCCAGTGCTCTCCAGCACACAAAGTGCGGCTGATACCATTGTCTCTCGCTCTTCCCGCACTAGGACCGAAGGAAGATCAGGACCCACTATCGTTACAAGTTCCAAGTTAGTACACCTAAGTCACGTGTCTAAGTAAGCCTTAGCTTTAGTATTTCTTAACTATAGAAATTTAAAAAAATCTTAACTTAATAACTAAAGTATACTATAGTTATATACTACTAGTACTTAGAGAAATAAAATAAAACTTTATAAATATATTATTTTTTTTTTACTTACTTATATATAAAACTTTAAAATAGTAGTATAATTAAAGCTTTATACTTACTTAATACTATTAGAACTTAGCTCTAATAAATATAAACTATTTATTATTTTTAACTTTTTTAAAAAAAAGTTCTTTAACTATATTACTAAGTATAAGTTTACTATTAGCTAAAAGTATACTACTAAGCTATAAGTAATTACTATATATAAAGTTATAGCTATTTATATTTTTAATAATACTAATAATATTATTAAGTACTTTATACTTATAAAGCTAAAAGCTTTTAAATAACTTTATAATAAATTTCTTACTAATAATACTACTACTAATAATAAAGAAGCTATTAAGATACTTATAAATAATTTTTAAAAAAGAGTATAAAAATAAGTAAAATATATCTTAGTTTTAGTTTAAAGTAAGTAAAAAAAATAAAATTAAGTAGACTAGTAATTAATAAGCTTATAGGTATGTACTATAACGTTTTCTATAGCGTAACATTAGGCATAGTACACCTAAGCCACAAGTTCTTCAAGATACCATGGCTAGCTGCATACCGCTAACCCCGGTCCACCGTTCGTCTCAGAATCTGCAAAGCCGGCACGTGGCCGGGAAGTGGAGTTGCTCGACGCAACTATGTCGTGAGCTCAAGACATGAAGGTGAGGCCGTTCAATACTCTGCTTGCCAGTTTTCGACGTTGCAAAGAGTGCGGGGTAACACCAGCAATAAAGTTATCAGCGCTGTGTAGCTTTCCACTACTCCGAGACATTCACCGTCTTACACGTGCGCTACACGCGAGATGTCGGCTACTGCAACCTGGCCCCACGTCGAACTTTATTCTGACTGCATTCGGACACCGAGTCAAGATTACCACCCGCCGTATTCGCTTCTCTTCCACTTCGCCACACATATTCTGTCCTTTTTTGACAAATTGTCATTCCATTACGGCCCGTTTCCAATGCACCCGAGCCGTTGACTCCGCTTTGTGGTCCTTCACTTACGGGAAACTGTTAGGGCCCGCGACGGGATGCGAGCATCCAATCGAGCATCTTCCAAACCGGGATGATAGCAACGGCTATCGGGTACGTCAAACTGCGATCGACTATGAACTCAATCGAGCTCGGTCTCATGCGAGTAGACAGACCGTCGATTTCCTGTAACGTCCGCTATAGCTACGCCGCCTACGTGGCCTTCTGACACTTTCAACGTCGAGCAAGACGTGGCATGAGGCTGTAACATCTGCTACACTACCAGCCGGTCAATACTTTCTAAAGTTAGCTCTTCTAGAACAAGCCACTTATATTCTTGGAGACGTCGGACACATCTCGGCTCAACCTGCCTAGAGACCTGACATTGCAGGACTACCCCCTCAACATACATACTTCTCAAACCTCAACGGTAAAACCGTTGGATTCATAACCTTTTGCGGTTGCATGCAGCCAGACCAAGGCCGAGTTCTAGATTGATGCATGAACCCAGAGAGATATCCATCTTAGGCTGCGGCTGCGCGTTCAATGTCGAAACCCTCCGGAGTCCGCGCAGTGCGGCCAAATCTACTGTTACCAGGATCTGCTTACGTCACTAGATGCGTACATGACGCTTTTCGGATTACTGAAAGATGTAAGAGATGCGCTACAGATTATACGTACACGTCGGAATCATGAATGCGACGACGACCTAGCATCGCTGGCACCTTGACGATCGAAACCAATTCCAACATGCATGCAACATCAGATCACCATATCAGCAATGAACCAGATCTTTGCTTGCTCAGGATACTACATTCGCATCACCTAAGCTGTCGGACGCCTCGCTTTCCGAGCTATCAGCACGAGCACAGACATACCAATCCCATCCGCTTTACGTCCGCTCTACCCTCTCCATCCACCAACCCACGAACCAAAAAGTCTCACATACGATATCCACCTACTCCAATCTCCAAACCTCCAAACCTCCAAACCTCTTATCCCTTAGCTCGCCTTCGCAACCGCGTTCTCATGTCTGACCGTTTTTTTTACTGCTCCCCGTCGATCCAACGTTGGTTCCTGCCCGAAATGCACGCAAGCCAACGAGTCATGCAACTGCATCTCGCGTCTGCAGCCCGCTGAACGTGATCACACCGCTGCGTCCCCGCACAGCCGCAGTAGACTCGGTGCGAACAGTATGATTACAGTAAGGTGTTGACAAGTTTTATGCGAACTAATTCCTTTGCCGCGAGGTGCATGAAACATGTATAATTGATCGGTTATTGCATAACGGTTTTTATGTATTGTAGATCCGGGGTACTTGATCGAAGGGGACGACGATCGAAGAGTTTGGAAGTGGTTTTTGGATGATGGAAGGTGAGAGTTTGGATTGTTGTGTTGATGTGGGACTGTGATAGACGTTTGAATATGTTGCTTAATGTGCGCGCGACGATCAAAAGAATCGTAGAGCATGTAGTACAGCAACTATGGAATATCTGAGGATGCCGTCTCACCGACCGAACTTGAAATCGCAAGACACAGCAAAGCTTGATACTCCAAGGGCATGGTCATTATGTTGAATACACTCCATTAACAAGTCACTGTAGCGCAACTTCTACTTCCTCATACCTTATCGCTGGTTTCGAATGTCTTCTTCTAACAACAAGTTTCTCAAGACATCTGCAGCCGGATAACCCTGTGTAGTCTCCTGGCAACAACAATAAGACCAGCAACATAACATATCCTGATAAGTGTCGTGATCTGCGAAAGTCTACTCTGTTGGACAGAGACGTCAAAAACCAAGCCAATGAATCTAGGATGCTTAGCTTGGCTAGCAAGAGGAGTAGAAGCAAGAAAGCTTGGTTGAGAGGCTTAACCTGCCCAACCCTAAGCTTCGTGAGATTGAACGACTTGTTAGCAACAGGGCTAAGCTTGAGAGGAACAAGGAAACGGTAAGCTTCTCTTCCTGCTCTACTCTTCTTTGCTAGCTGTCCTATCCTTCTCTTTATATTCAACAGTGAAGAAATCTGAACAGGTTCGCTGACGCTCACATTGATACAAGAATAAGAGTTCATCAATTTTGAACGTATCGTAGGCTCCTAGGCTCTGTGATTGTTGTGTCTGCTTTCGTCTGTAGTTAAATGCTTAATATCTCCCTTCAATGGGGTGACTCCCGAAGTCTCTAATTTCGATCACGTAGAGGGCTACTGAGCTGGTCTATCTCACCAGTTCTATCAGTCGATCTCATGTCTCCATCGTAGCTTTATGATTGGAATAATCGGTCCTGTTAATACGGCTCGATGGATTCGTATCACACTCTTCTTCTATATTCAGTTGAGACCCTCTTCTCGGTCACATCAGCAACAAGAGAAGCTTGCACTGTCATAGCTAAAAGTAAGGGAATACACGTGTTCTTGCTTTAGATGGTGTTGTAGTATCGATGTATAGGCTACACTTCCCAATAAATGGCTATAAGCTAAGCTGATAGAGTTACTTGATTTAACTCAGGATCTCAAGCACCACCGGTAAGCTCGATCGACATGATGACCAGCTCCCACCCAGATTTACCTCAAGCGGGAAAATTTGCGAACCTTCCCATTCATTGTCGGGGGGTCATCCTCTTCAACATGGCTGAGAAGACGAGACCGATACATCTTGAAGATCCTGCTAGTAATAGGCATGCCATTAATGTGATCTTTCCAATTCTTAACATACGTGCGGTACCCATAAGGTAACGCTTCATTGATCTTTTCGATAGCCCAGATTGAAGTGTCGGTTTCGAAATAGACGTCTCCGTAGAGCTCCTCGAAGTCGACGACGAATTGGCGAACCGCAGTTGACGTGTCTAGTTTAAGAGAGCCAATCACTACACGGGCGCGGTTTGACAGGACTTCGTTTGGCGTCTCGTAGTTAATGTAGCTGATAACGGCCTTCAGCGCGGATGCTGGCGAGTTGGTGTCTCTGGCTTCCTTCCACACCGACGGTTCGATAGCAGCGTGGAGGAGGGCTAAAGCTGAGCCAGAGGCGTGATCATAGTCTTTCCATTTCTGTAGCTGGAATTGGTAGACGGCGACCTGGTACTGCCAATCCACTGGAGGAGCCTCTTGTACCACATCATCATCGTCTTGTTGGAGTGCGAGAAAGGCCGGCGCAATGGGCTTTGCGACTACTTCAGCGTTGTCTTTGAAGTATTCAGCGTAGCCATGGATTTTTGCAATGTCTTTGAAACGCTGGAACCAGTCGGTGAAGTTCTCGGGCCCGGAGAGCTTCTTGAAGTCGGGGCCTAGGGCGATGGTGGGATCGTTGGTGGCGGCCATATTTGGCTGGTTGAGTGCGGCGATGGGTGTGTGGAGTGTGACAGGAGCAGGGTTGCGGGCTAATAGTTGCCATGGGATAAGAGTGAATGACTTCATCTGATGACCGTGAGCGTGGTGGTGGTCAGTGGCGCGAATATGACGCGTGTTCTGACTGTGCATGGTATGAGTGAATGATTAAACGACCAATCGTATCATACTGGAACAGAGATGATGCTCTCGTACAACGCTCATGCATGAACCTCGAGATGCACTTTCTTAAGAACATGAAGGAACTTTCACACACGGCAGATAGAGACGTAATGTAGGTAGATCATATGTATTTCAGAACATAAGGAGAAAGTGGTATTATCCTAACAAAACAACAAATTACAAGCAGACATACACAAGAGCCATCTGCCCATCTGCCTAGCGCAATGGAAGAAAAAGACAGCCACCTTGGAGAATACAATCTCCCAGAAAGCGTTTTTTTCTCCCCACTACTGATCCTTAGGCTCTGATACCCACATACTGGAGTTGCTTCCATCCATCCATCTTTGTTCGGGTATGATCCACAACGACGACAACAACTCTTCTCATTGAAACATAAGGAATGACCCAAAAGTACACAAGGGGGGTCGTCGGACAAGGGGGTGTTCTCAAGGAGAGTAACGAAGTGCAAAGCAAGAAAATAGGGTCCCTAGCCGTTCAACGCCGGGGGTAGGTAACATGGTAAGGAAAAGGGCATCAATGCTAATCTCGTTTCGATCGCTAATGATAAAAACAAAGTAGAGGAAGAATGGCGGCAAGCCGCGGCGACGACTAGCTTATCGCATGTTGTGGCGTACAGCGGTGTTGGGTCGCTGCAGTGGTTGCGCGTACTTGGACACGGGAACCATGTGAGCGTCGAGATCGTTGTTACCGTCTACGTCGTCATCGTCTTCGATGATGCGTGTTGGTACGACGGGGATGTCGTGCGATCGGTGCTGTAGGCTCGTCCGGTCTGGTGTTGTGCTGGCACTGGCCATGGACATGGAGGTGCTGGACCGATGGCTTAGATCGGGCGTTGGGGGGATGCTTGAACCCCGGTTGGGGCGGAGCATGTTGTCCTCGTCGCCGTACTCGCTGCCAATGGTCGATTGTGCGCGGCCTCCGGCCGATGACATCTGACCAACGCTGCTGCGGCGGTCGCTGTGGTTGTCGCCATCTTCCGTATCGGCACGCTGTGCGAGCTGAAGACCCTCAACAGCTGCGGCGCACTGCTCTGAGATGTTGCGGATGATGTAGGCGATGGCATCCGTCTTGTCGCGGAGGACACGGTCGGCGACGTCGACCATTGATTGATTTGAGAAGCGCTTGGAGTTGCGTGCGGGGTTGTTGAATAGACGCTGCTCCATGTCGGGTGTAACGTCCTCACCGTCGAGGTGCTTGCCCTGCGCAGTGCTGGCTCTTGACTCCTGGCGGCTCTCAACACCGGCTACGCCGCGGATAGTACCGACCTCAGACTTGTCCTTGATCGAGTGACGGGGGGTCTGATGGCGCGACGCCGCGTCTTCGAACTCCTCCTGGTCCTCATCCTCCTCAGGCACGTCTTCGAAGCCGGCGTCCATGTAGTTGGACATGTCATCCTGGTTAAGGGACTTGACGATGTGCTCCATGTGGTGGGTCTGACCCTCGATAAGAGCACGGAGGTGGAGCACAACCCGTTGCGCCTCGTCGCGCTGGCGCTGGATGGCACCGTTGGTATGTTGCAGAGCACCAAGCTCCTTCTTGTTCTTCTTCCTCTCGCGCTCGAGCTCCTCAGCAATCTCTTGCTGCAGTACAAGCGCTTCGAGAGCATCGTCACGTTGCTTCTCGGTACCCGACAGACGGACAGTAAGCCTTGCGGCATCATCCTTCTGTTGGTCGATAAGGCTTGTGAGACGACGGTTCTCACGCTTGTGGTTCTCGATCTTGACCTTGAGATCCTGGGTCTCCTTGGTGAGCTGCTCAGCGAATGCCTGGAACTTGAGGAACTGTTGCTTCCAGCTCTCAAGCTCTTCGACCAAGAAGTTGTTGCGCTTCGTAACCTTGCCAAGCTCGCTGTCGAGGCGCTGCTTGAGGTTGATGAAGTCTGTCCAGGCTTCTTGTGCGTCACGGGAGTACTGGTTGCGCTCGCGAACGATCTCGTTGAGGTGGCGCATCGACACCTTGGTCATCAGCGGCTTCTTGACGGAGCCACCGAAGATAGCCTTGACGCCAGTGTTGCGGCCCTGTGGTGATATTAGCGTGGGGTACGATGAGTCTATCCGCAACCGGATACATACCAATTTCTCACACACGTGGTCCATGACCGACATGACAGCATCCTGGGTCCACCAGTCGGGGTCCTGGATGCTCTCAACCTCACCACGCATCACAATGATTTGACCCGCGGGGATGAGCTTGCCGCCACCGTACGCCGAGCGCAGATGCTGTGGAACTCCGGTTGGTGAAACCTCACCGTTGAGAGCCTGAGTCAGACGCTGGATCATCTTGGTCCTCTGGCCGGCGGTAAGAGCGGTAGGCGGGCTCGAAGTCAGAACGAAGTTCCGGTCCAAGTCGACGACAAGGGCATCTGTGGGAGCCGTGAAGAGCGATCGGCACTCTGATGTTACACCCAGAATGTATGGGCCCGGCTCCTGCACGAGATCCTTGACGTGACGCGCATGAACGACGGGTACATACAGACCGCTCCACTCGTACACCCTGACACAGAAACGGACTGTCTCGGCTGCGATGGTGAGCATCGCGGGGTAGTGACTGGTGAAGATGATTCGTCGTGTGGGCGATACAGCAGCCTCTATCACACCCACGATGTTGGGAATTGAGAGACACGTGAAGAGCGGCCACATGGCGAAGTTTTGGAAACCGGTAGGCGAGGATGGGAACTGGTAGCACAGCGCGTAATCCTTCATGTCGATGCGGACCAGGTCGTTGAGGCGAGGAGCTGGGAAGCTGAGGATGCGCGATACCTCCTCGGCATGGAAAAGGTTGGTAGCCTTATTCCAGTGAATCCACATGCCGCGCAGGTAGTCGCCGAGTAGGTTGTACAAGGGGTATCGGGAGAGGAAGCTCAGGCAGTACGGGATCCAGTATGTCTCATCTGGGTTGTCGAAGAAGTCGGGCTCGATTCGCTTGCGCAGGTCGCGAATAGTCTCAGCGCGCTTCTCATCAGCACGAGACCAGACGCGCAGTGCGATACCGTAAAGAGTGTGCGAGGAATCTTGTTGCAGGACGAAGGAATGGTGTACGCAGTGCGGCTGGCTCCTGCCGGTGCAGATCTCGACGTCGTGGGGGAAGCATGCCTGTGTGAGTGGTTAGTAGCGCGACAACAATGACCTTGTTGTATGGACGTACTCGCATGGCAGCATGAAGAGACCTCGCGATCTCATTGTCTTGCTCCAGTCTGGGGCTGCTTCCCAGAATCTCAGGAAGCCAGAAGGTACCAACGGCACCCTTCATGTGGCCAATCTTGCCCTGAGAGGGCGCAGGCGCTTTCACCCATTGTGATGGCTCGCGACCAACACCACACACCATGTAGGCATGGGTCAGTGTCTTGGGGCTCCTCGCGCCCTGCTTGACGTTCAAAGTCGATGGAAGCGGTTGGGTGATCCTCGAATGAAGCGATGATGTCCGGCTCGGGATGATGAGGCTGTGGTCGGCATTGTCTCTCGTGGGAGGACGCTCGCTGGCGCCTGTACGCGGTCGCAAACTTAAAGAAGGTGCCATGTTGGCGGATTCGATGTCGGTCCTATCGAGATGGCCGTTGCGGTATGGGTGTAGAGAACGGCAGGCGGATGAATCCAGCAATTATTATGACAGCTATAACTGTGAGAACATGAGGCGATGCGTAGAAGGTATCCGAAAGGCAACCCGCGAGAACAAGAGAGAGCGGACCGTGAGTACTATACGCACTCCGTCAATTGAGAGCTCCGAGGTCACCTTGCTGCGGGCAGTAGAGGAGGGTAGCAGCAAGGGGGAATCATGGCTTTTGGGGAGCTCTGCCGCAGCGCGCGGACTGGATGCTGGGGGTTGAACGACCCGAAGACTAGCATGGGTGGCTTTCACAAGTTTCGGTTCGAGGAAATGAGAAGCATATCCCTGCCCATTCGCAGGGTCCGTCTCGGAGCACGGTGCACGGCGCTGTCAGGGGCACTTTTCTTGAATAACGGCTCGCCCAACTTCCTCGAGCGGGCGCGACGGCAGCAAGGGCCGCAATCAAAGATACGGCTTATACACAGTACATTGTTATGTCGCCTCGCTCTTTGCACTGTTGTAACGTTTCCTGCAGCCACGTCCAGCGACCGGAGCTCTGGTACCACGACTCGGTCACCGAGAGTCCGCAGCGGCCTCAGCAGAGAATCCCCGCTGGTGGCAATAGCGCCATACGGACTGGTCTTATGCTGAATACCGCATTGGGTTGGATTCGAATCATTCGCACGCCTTGTGCACGATGAGCACGTCTGCAGCGTGCATCCTCGCATCAGCATGCATGAGCAGAGTTCCCGCACTTGCAGCTCGGACGGACCGCGAATGGAAGTGCTTAGAAATTGGCGAGGCAAACCCCTGACGGCTGTTGGCTATCGGTGGCTGCCCAGCAGGCGGTACATGAAGATCGCTCTTAGGCCCGCCGCCAGGCACGTTTGATCCTGCGTGGGAGTGCGAGGCCTTTCTGCAGAAGGTCCAAGACGCGCCGTCGAGCTGTCGACCAGATTCTTCGATCGGCTCCACAGTCCGGTAAAGGTGGTGGCCACGTACAGTAGCCTCGCGTGTCGTGGACCCTCTAGAACCAGACTTCTGAGCTGTCCGTTCAGAATTGCGGAGAGCTGGAATTGGTGAGGCTGAAACACCGGGCACTCAAGCTGCCTGGCAAATCGGGCGCCTTCGCCCAGGTTCGGTCAAGCTGACATGGACAAGACGTGTTGCAGCCGGACAGAGCGAGAACGACTCGATTGCCTCTCAACAGCTGTAGACGAGCGCAAGCGCATAATCGGCGCAGTCGA